ATACCATGTGCGAAATGTCGAAAATATAAAACATAAAGAATGCATTCTATATCTATGTACATGTAAATATGTTTTAGATGCAAAGCAGGTATTTTTTTTCTACTTATTTAAAGTCTAAATACTAAAACTCTTTCTGCAATGTAAAAATCAAGCGTAAAATCGCTGGATTTAAGAAAATCAACGTTATCTACACTGTTATTTTACACTCTCAGCTTTAAGGGAAACATAAGTTGGTGAATTGAAAGAGGAAAAAAGAAGGATAAAACAATTATTCGGATAAAAATTTCACGCGCTTGATCTTGATTGGAATTGTCGCTGAGCCGGAAAAGGTTCTTTCCAGCTCTGAAAGCACGAGGGTTAAGGTCATTAATGATAAAACGGGATGGCGACGATGGTGATGATGGCTGGCGGAGCACACAGATAACAGTTCGTAATTCGTTAACGCGCTCGCAAAGTCCTAACCACCAGGTGTGGTGTGAAATATAATAATTTTAATTTGTACCTTGTACCCGCCTCACTCTTCTTTCTTCCCCTCATTTTATGCCTGCTTAATGACGTTCGTCGTTGTAATTATTTGACGGAATACCGTGGTCGCTAACGTGTAATTAAAAGAAAGTGAACGCGCGAATTATCAGGATGGCGATACAAATCTTCTCTTTCTCCACGATGAGCTTCGTTAAATCTTTATTCTAATCATATTCGGTGTAATTGTAACTTTTTTATATCGATTTTACATCATTATATTTTCATTTTTACGAGTCCCAATTTGAATTTTTAGAAAATCGTAATCCTTAGAAATTCAGAAAATCCTTTAAATTAGGAAAATTTTTGGAATTCTGGAAATTCATGGAAAGTTTAGATAATGCAAGCTCTTTATCAATATTTCTCTACTCTATTGCAGATTTTTCCAGTTTTGGTTAGAAATAAAGAAATGTCCTTGGAATTTTTTAGATGCAATATCTACGATTACATTATCTTGATACTTTCCAATTTTTCAAGGATTTTATTAAGAGTATAAATAAGTTTCCGCCGTTTGACAAAAGATGGCGTCACCAATATGTTATGGTTAAAATTGTCTGCTGTAAAACGTAAGGTCATATCGTAAGGTTGGACATCTGGCAATAACATAATCTTGAAATATTAGCGATTTTGTATCAGCATCATATATCTTTTTTCGTGTGAAAATGTCAAGTTTTGAGCCAAATAAGCGTCATTTGCGGGAGCTTCTTTAATTTAAAGAAATCTGCAGCTGAGGCGCATCGATTGCTTGTATAGAAGCATATGGTGAGGCTGCCTTAAGTGAGAGAAGTTGCCGTGAGTGGTTTCAAAAGTTTAAGGCCTGATTGCACCAATAGTAGGGGAGACCGAGAGACTAAATGTGGATTTACTCGAGCGTCGTGGGGACCTATTGGATTGTGAAGATTAGATGCTAAAAAGAAAAAAAGATTATATGATGTATGCCGTTTCAGTGGTGGGGGGAGCGTGTACAGGCTTTCAAAAAAAATAGTGACAATGAAATACTCGAGCGCGTCAGATTTTTGAAATGTACACTTTTCTACATGTAATTAACACACCATACCTTAATCTGACGCGCTCGAGTTTTCGAACGATCGATTTTTTTTATTTACTAATCCCCTGGACCCCCGGCTCTATATAGAGGTTTAATATTCGGTGGGGATACTTATTAGGGTGCAAGCTTTCCCCCTTTATGTTATTTTGACGCGCTCGAGTAAATCCCAAAATCCCCGCTTGGCCTCCCCTACTACAACGTGATTTCAATTTTAAGCGAAACTTAAATTGTCTCTGTCTCCGTCTCCCTTCGGCTTTAAAACGAGATAGCTGAGTTTTAAGTCTCGCTTAAAATCAAAAAGTGTTGGTGCAACCGGGCCTGAGAACGGTGAATTTGACGTCAAAGAACGTAGTTTCGACGATTTTTGTTTTTTCGACGTGAAATCCATCAATTATCAAAAAGATGGGAAAAAGTAGTGACTAGCGATAGACAATAACTTCGAATAAAACATTAGATACTATTCTTTCACAATAAATGCCCAATTTTTGATGAAAAAACGGCGGAAACTTATTTATATATATCAATAGTTTTCCCGAAACTTAAAATTATAATTCTCAGAATTCTTAGAAATTTTGGAAACTTTTTAAAATTTTAGGTAGTATAATTTTCTTCCCAATTATACTGTAATACCGTGTCAATTTTTCGAGATTTAATTTTTTCGGAATTCAAAGTTATGGAAATTTTCGTAATTCTTTGAAATTTTTTTGGAAAATTCTTGGAATTGTAGGTGTAGTACGATTTCCTTTCTTTAAACATTTCTATATCAAATTATAAAATTCTACACACATTAAATTTATTATCACGCATTTATCGAAGTCCCTGGCTTCTCTTTCTGTTTAGGTGCCGAATTCGAAGTAGTGAGTTACTTTATCTTACGCAGGAAAAACGAACGCTTCCATATCTACTACGTGCAAACGATCGGCAAGATAGATTTGTCTGCGGACTTGAAATTGGTGTCACTGTCATTATAGGTGGCGGCACCACCTTGATACAACAATGAGACTCGAATATTTCGAGTTGTACGTTACGATTTCGAAAGATCTCCACTAAGATCGATACCAATATCGATGCTTTTCGACGGCTCGAATGCGGATTCATTTGTTCGGATGACTGACGACAGGCGGAGGAGGGCGAAAAGTACAAGAAAAGAAATGCAATTCGGCGATGTGCGTTGTCAACGGCGATTGTGTCGTGAGGCTTGCTTTGCCATCACGAGGAGGAGATTTCGCCGAACAAATCGAAAGCGTCTATTCGGCCAACATTTGAGAATGAACTCGGGGAGATTGTCAAACAATGAGGAGATGTCTGCAGTAGAACTGATACGGTTGGGAAAGCTTCTTAAGTTAATACCTCGTGGTCGTCGTTGCTGACAAACATTTTCTTTCCCTTTCATCAGGGGATATCGCGTTCGACCAGTCCATCTTCCTCTCGTTCAAAAGAGGTATAAATGCAAACAAACAGAAATTTGCTGATTATCATATTAGAAAGAATGCGAGTAGCGTCGGTGCTCTAAATCAAGCTCTTTCTCTATTGTTACTGTATCTATTCGCTGATAGCTTAGACTTTGCTTTTTTTTTTATTAATGTATAAAAAGAATATTTACAAAATGGAGAAATTACTTAATTACAGAAAAATTCATATTTTTAACAGCAATAGTTTTTTTTACTGTAATTATATAGCAATAAAATAAAGAGGCATATCCTTAAAATTGAGATATTCTTTCATAATTTTTTCTAGGCTATAATTTGTGGTTGAAATGTGTTTATATTCAATTCTGTAAAAATATTTGATGCTAGAAATGGATATGTAAACTAGAAGTCTTGATTCATCTTCAGCGAACAATTTGAGAAAATATTTAAGCGAGGGAGCCGACATAGGTCACAAGGAGTCGAGACGCTATCCCTACCCTGCCTATCGCTATATCAGTGTGCCTCCAGTCCTGGTCAGGACGCAGCCTTGGTTCAGTATGCCTCCAGCAGTGCTATCGAAGCCATCGAAAGCATCCTAGACTCATTCTTTATAATATAACAAAGATTTAGCAGTATTTGTGGTATTGGATCAATTCACGTTTGTCAGAATCATAATAGATCATTGTAGACTTAACAAATTTGAGAGTTGTCTGTGTTAGATTCACCACCACGATGGTATGTATTCTGATTCTTCTTCTCTTTTGATTCAGGTAAATGTGCAGTGAAGCGAAATGATTGACTATGACAGGTTTTCATTTCATATTTCTGCCTTTGTATGGGTCAGGATCAAGTTTCGTATTCATTCAAGAGCTATACCTTTTTTTCTCAATAGTATGATATGATAGCATTATGTCGAAATTATTTCTTCATAAATTGTTTTGAGTTGATGATACAAGTTGATTACGCTTCGTGCATTTTCATGAATATGTATAGTTTCTTCTAGGTGTGTGATCAAGATTATACGTGTATTGTGTATATTTCAAGTTTTTTTATTGTGGTTTGTGCTACAATATGTTATGTTAGTGTAGTGAAAGCAGTTCTTATAAATTAATTATGTATACAAGGGGTAATATCTCGTGCTCAAGTGGATAGTTGTACATTTGCTGCTTAGGCTGAAGTATGGCCCATATGAACCATATTTCAATGCCCTGTCATAACAAAGGAACAGGCCCTAGAGGCATAATAGCCTTTTTCCCCCGATATTGCCTTACCTCATAAACCTATTAATATTTTTCCGCTATGTTAAAGCTCAATTTCAGTTAATAAAGGGTATTAAACTCGCAATATAGATATAGATATTTTTGGAGCTGGCAAGAACTTTCAATAGATTGCGTTATAGGTTTTGTCGATCAATACCACATAAATGGTCTGCGCAACAGACCAATAGGGATTGTGCATATATACATGTACACGCAAAATTCATCCCTCTGCGCAGCCTGCCAGGAGATGGTCTATAGTTTCTCCATTATGCTCCACCCTTAAAGTTCCTGACAACAGAAAAAACTCCCTTGGCTGCTTAATTGAGAGATATGACTCACCACAGAGCTCGATCGATCCAGCATCCCAGATTTTCCTGTCTTTGTTTGCATATACCCGCTCCACTCTTACACAGAAATATGACTGTGTTATAAAATCAATAATATTTAGGGAACGTAACTATGATATATATAAATATGACTTTAATTTTTATTTTTATTTCATGTATTAAATGAATATGCTCTATATGTCATCATAGAGATGTCATCATAGAGATGACATATAGAGCATATTGTAATGAGATGTATATCCTGATAGCCATTATATCTACTTAGCTAATTTATAAATGAAATGTATATCCTAATAGCCATTATTTCTACTTGGCTAATTTATAATATAAATTATAATATAATTTATATATTGTAAAAATAGAAAATGTAACATATAAGATTTATATTATAAAATTTATTCATTTACTGTTTCAGGTTGGGACTAACCATGTCCACTAAGAGGCATCGCGGGCAAAAGTTAAGCATAGATAATAAAAAAGTATATGAAGGTCGTAATAGATAGAATGAACGCGTCTCGGCAACACGAAGCGCGTTGCTTCAATGAAAACTCTCCCAGGCCACCAGTGCCAGGTAAAACAAATATTTAAATTACACAAAAAACTATTTACGACTATAAACTTTTTTTTAGAAGTGTGATTGTAGTTCTAAAAATATATATCCTTTAAAATTACATTTTCATAATAAAATAATTAAAAATCTGTTCAAGATAAACCTTTCTAAAAAAAGTTATAGTTGTTTGATTTATATTATAAAGAGAATATATATTGAGAGATATACTGAAATATATTATAGCAAAATTTTTGTTTATTCCAGGAGAGGAAACTGGAAGCTATGTCAGCCGGATCCGTCCACAAAGTCCCGCTCTGACGCCAAGACGCTCTTCCTTTGCGACATCGCAAACCTCCGGTGGTGGTTGCGATGTTGCGGCGCCGTTGGGATTCGAACCGGAGGGTTGTTGCGGAACCACTACCATGGAGAGCAATTCGCCCCCTGCTTATGCACGGTGGGCGAGAAATCTGCACTCCTTGTTAGAGGATCCGGTGGGTTTAGAGCTGTTCAAGAGGTACCTAAGTCAGGAGGGGCATTTGGATCCGCTTAATTTCTGGTTCGCCTGCGAGGGCCTTAAAGAACAGAAAGACATAGAGAAGATCTCGCAATTGGTGAAGCTCATCTATCGAAGGTTTTTTCTCAAGTCGCAGCTAAGCATACCAGAAGATGTAATGAAAGAGGCAGATCGACGGGTTAAGGAGGGTCGCACCGATCATAAAGTGTTCGACATAGTACAATTAGAGGTCGAGCGGCTGATTAACGAAACGACTTACCCCAATTTTCTTCAATCTGATGTGTACCTGCAGTACATTCAGTCCTACCAAATTCCTGATTCCGGCGATTGCCCGAGCTCGAGTTCAGGTAGTCGCGAGATGTCGCTCTCCTGCGGACCGAGTCTGCTGCCCACCGTGCATGAAGACAGCGAGTACGTCGGCACCAGTTGTGTACACATGCACAATTCGCACTCGACCGGCGAGACACCCGGAGAACTGAGATTGACCAAAGATATGCTAATGGTTACCCAACAGAGTAGAGCGATGGATCTACGACCGAGGCCAGAAGCGTACGCCGGGTAATGCGCTTTTCATGAAATTATCGAATTATTAGAGTACCATTCGTCATTTGTATACTACGCTTCAAATCAGTCCTGCGAATGCCTTAACAATGCTGTCGTTTTATCTTCTTTTCCTTTGAAGCTTGATGTGATGAAACTTGCATATAATCTGAATTATATTTTACGTTTACATTTTGTTATTACCAATTTCCGAAGCGATTGACATCGCCAAAAATAGAGTATCTCCCTCAATAACGTTTTTTATAATTTGTCCATATGCAGAATATGCAAAATTTTCTTTTTCGTTTGTTTGATAAATAACCCGATATTTTTATTTGTATTTTATTTAGTTGTTTTTTTGTTTTGCTATTTTGCGTGGCACTTATAGCATTTACTTGCAACATGGGACTAGTCCGTATCACATGCACGTATCCAGATTGCACGCACTATATTCCTCCTACAACCCAGTATCCAGACAGGATTCCGAGCTTCAGAGTTTGAGCAGTGATGCACGTACCGAGGTGGACAATGTGTCCCTCAACGACGGATCTATGTAAGTTGTCTCTCTCTTTTTAATTTTAATTTTACACAGCATTATTTGATTTTGCATATGAGATAGAGAGTGGAATTTCTCCAACTTTCATCTTGATCATTCATTGTCAAACTAGATTACTAATCCATATGTATTTGTAATTTATCGCCTACAGCGATGGGACGAGCAGCAGACAAAGAAGCAAGAAGCAATACACCAAGCAATCTAGTAGGGCAATTAAAGAATCCGCGAATATAAATCGCGAGCCCATGGCACATCATGTTGTCCCACGAACCCAACGTATGGCGTCTCCGAAACAGATGTCGGAGGAGCAATTCGCGGAAATGCTCACGCACAAGTTGGAGATCCTGATGCGAGAGCAGAAGGCCCATGAGAAACTGGAGAAATATCTGTATCAAGAAAATGACGCGTCGACCGGTAACGATGCGTTGGTAGAACCTTGTGGAGCTTCCAAGACTCTGGGCGATGCGCTGAAGGAAAAATTATCCATGGAAGAGGACAGCGATCAAGCTATTCTTGACGAGCATGTGTCACGCGTTTGGTCAGATCAGACACCTTCGAGATCTCCCAGACTTTCACCCGAGAGAAGGCGTCCCACCCACAATTATCCACGGCCTTACAAGCAGAGGAAAGAGAAAGATATGGATTCCACATTCTCGGTGGACAGTGGTAATATTCACGACTTCCAAGAGGGTAGCGACCTTGTTGGAGCTGGCTCTATGAGTTCACTGGGCTCACATCTTCCCAAATCTAAATCTGTGCCATCAGATTACGCTGATTTCCTTCACAAGCAGGATCTACATGGTCAAGGTAAATATGATAATGATGAATGATGGCATATGTGTGTTTATGAACGAATTATGACTATCAGTAAAATAAAATGTTTTGCGCAGGTCACGACCAAAGATTCCGAAGGTCGGACATAACGAGACGATCAGCTACGAAAAAATCAATGACGGAGCTAACAGATAGTGGAGTAAGTGTAGTCAGTGACGTGCAACCTTCCTTAAACAAAGATGTTCGTCTTATGCCTCGGTTTAAAGAAATGGACAAGAAGATTGATTTGAAGCATAGTAGTCGTCATGGTAAGAGATACGGCTCGCGTAGCGGGTCTTTGGAAAGGCCAAACAGAGAAACATGGAGCATGGGAGTTCCTGCTCAGCCGTTTGTTGCTGATCCGGGAATGCCACCTCTGACACCACCTCACACGGTGAATAAAAGCTGTTCTTTTCTCTCTTTAGATTACAAAGATCCAAATGTGTTACGAATAACTATGTCACAGGTTATACAATTAGAGGAGACTTGTAGAAGACTAATGGAAGAAAATAAGATACGCGCTAGTTGCAAGCGACACCTCAACGTTTCGAAACAGACGTACGAGTCGCAGTTCACGTCGCAGTGTCAACCGTATGTCCAATCCAACCAGTCTACTTTGAGGAAACCGAAGCAGGACGACTTCACCACTGTTGTGTTCAGTTTCTGTGACGAGCAATTCCCTTACAGGACCAAAATTCCTGGTCACAACGTCACGTTAAAACAGTTCAAGGAATACCTTCCGAAAAAAGGGAGCTATCGGTAATATATTGTTATTTATCGATAAAGCAAATAATTTCATAAATTTTAATTATCTCTTTTTTTTTTTTTTTATTATAGATACTTTTTCAAAACCGAATGCGAAGACTTAGATACGAAAGTTATACAAGAGGAGATAACGGATGATGCTGAGGTTCTGCCACTGTGGGAAGGCAAAGTGATGGCGCAAGTTAAGGCGCTTGAATAATAGACTGAATAAAAAAAAATAAAACGAAACGAAGCGCAAAATGCGCATATTCTGACCAAGTGCCGCAATAAATATTATTTAAGTAATCCGCCACTAAGTCGGTGCTCGGTATTTATACATATATACATATTAACGCTTGTCACGCGGCCTCTTTCTCATAATTGCCTAAGAAAAGTAGTTTTTATCGATGAAAAAGATAAAATATCGAGTCGAGCAATATTGTTTCGCACGTGTGAACGTTGCGGAAAAATAAGAAAACGGCCTCACAACAAGTTCTGTCGATCGAATGTCCTCGAGGAAATCTTGTAAGCTTTATTCACATCATAAGTGCAGTAACTTTCACTGGATTTCTTTCTGCTCAAATATTTTTCAGTAAGATTTAATTATGGAAGTGTTACTTTTATTATCGATCATACTACTAAAGTTTTGAATGTGACTCACTTCAATGATGTTTATTCTTGAAGGGTATTGGACCCTATCTGAAAATAGTGTCAAAAAAGATACAAAATATAATATATTATGTTTATCGTTAAACAAAATTTCTAATTTATTATCGCGCTTGATTTATATTTACTGTTTCTCTTTTATCAACTGTTTTTTTTTTTTTAATTGTTATCGCATTGTTTCCTGGTCAAATAAGATAAACGCTGTAGATTCCATTTCATGAGACACTGGAAAGCATTAGCGTGATCATGTTGTTTCAATATTTGACACTTGACGTCTGATACTGAAGTGTATCTAGTCAACTTCCAGCATCAGATCGCTTGGTTCAAGATTTAAATGCTGTATAGATGACATAGGATTATTTTCGTGCATTTTTCACTGTCTAGTGTCAATTTTGATTACGAAACCCATTCTGACATTGAAAATGAGCGTCATTCTGACATGAAAATGTATCTAATATGAAAGCTATTTGAGCGGAAATCGAAGCATGATCGTACTCGTCTCATTTCTTTCATTTCAGACTTTTCATCATATTTATACTTTTTTTTACAATTATTCAGGGCAAAGAGAGAAAAGGAAAAAAACAGCTTGTTTAGAATTGAGATTACTTTGTCAACGAATTTATACGGCGGACAGCTCGCGCGACAGCGCTTTATTGTACATAATTAGCATGTAACGATTTTGATGACAATGGTATGCGTTTTGTCGGTACGGGTTTTGCCAGATAAGAGTTATTATAATTTTACCTGGCGCGATACCACTTTCACGGAGTAGTTTGGGCGAAAACGACAATGTCGAAATATCGAAAATATTGTGACCGACTAAACAATTTCTTCCTCTCGAAGACTTCCCATAGTTCTCCAAACGACTGTACAAAGGTTCGCGTAGTTGATCGCCTTAGTAAGGTCTGCATAGGCACTAGACTTACATAGAAGACGATAATTATTATACAAACTAGCATTTAAGGAAATATATTACGTATATTTCATGTAAATACAAGACGTTGTCTCATACATAATATATATGTAATATATTTTACATATATGCGCGGTACGCGAAATTGTGAAAAAAAAATTGTGAATCATGTTTTTTTTCTCCGTTGTGCCACTACCGTCACCGTTGCATCATCGTCATCCATTCAATATTGTGAAATAAGTTCACCGAGCGTAGCCTAATACACGAAGCGATATTTATAGTATGTGTTGACACGCAGTTGGCATCGGGACGGCAAACATCAATGGAGAAAGGAAGATCATTAGCGTTTAGATTGTAATAACGTTTGTATCAGGTGCGGAAATATGTGCCTTTTTAGTGCAGTAAGATCGAAATAAGTCTAAGAGAGAAGGTTAAGAAATATTTATAAATTATAGTACAGGGGCCCAATCCTGATAGGAAAAACATATTTTGTCCGATAAGGTAAATGTGTCCCAATGACCGGACATGTATCTCTATGTCCGGATATTTACATGAAATTTATTATTAATCTCAAGTGCTCTTTTCATGAGAATATTATAATGTAATTATATTTAAAAATTACAATTATATTATAATATTATATTAAAAAATGTATTTGAGATTACTAATAAATTTTGTGTAAAAAGGTCTGATCACTGGGACGTTTACTTTATTTCTCGTCAAAATTGTATTCATACTGATTTATCGCTGAGAATATATCAAGTTTTATTTTATTTTTTTTTAAGACTCGTTTATCGAAATGGCTCGAAGTAAAAAAAAGATACTGTATAAAAAATTAGATCTCTTATTGAAGAAAAAAAAGAAAGAATAAAACTCGGAGACTGAAGGGGTTAAATTATAACATTGTTATATACATTACACAATGTAAATTATTATATTCTGCGAAAAAATGCCGGATGGCCCTCGATCGATGATTCGACTTTATAACTTACTGAAGTTCGCTTCCTACACGTGATTCCCGGGGAAAAATCGATTTAAAAACATATAGAAACGATGAGTATACCGCGTTTATTTGAAAACCGCGCTTCTGCAAATTCTGAACATTAAGATGTTCATGCTGAAGGCGATATGTGCGCGATCAATGACAATTTTTAATTGTATGTAATTGAACATTATGAATTATATCACGAACGTTACAAGTGTTCCTGTACCTAATTAATTAATAACGATTATTATTGTATATCAAAAATATTGAGAATAATAATGCGATTTTCACTGAATCAAATGATTTACGCTGTTCAAAATTTTGTCCTGGAAACTTGTACTTTCATCGAATAACAAGGATGATTCTGTTGTTGCAATTTTTGTTATGCTCCACACACACACACACATATACCAAAATACATTAATTCTGTCATACGTTACCCTCCGTGTGTGATTTAAGTATAAATTAGCAGATTATATAAAAACTTCCTTATTCTTAAAAAATGTCATGATTTACGACTTTCTTCATAATTCAGTATACAACTACAGTAAAAATACAAGATTTTTAATTTAAAGAAATTCATGTAAGTTTATTTTATTTACAATTAAATATGATTTTCTTAAGACTATTTTAACATTAAACAAAATTTCGTACTGTATATATGGTATTTCTTGAAACTCCCACATAATTTTTGTAAAAACAGAGTATCGGAAAATGTAGTAAATTATGTGTTCAAAAGCTACCTTTTGGCATAAATACTGATCAACCAACGTTTCAAGATGTATGAGAATGGAAAGAGCGATCAAAATGTCAAGTCCTTTGAATGGAGTTGTTCATAGTGACTTAAAATTGTCAGCGTTTTGATTACCATCAAAAGCCTTTCAGATAAGCCCCTACTTGACTCCTTAGTGTTATTTAAAACTTTCATTGCTTCTTCCACCTTTGCAACCTGTGAGTAGCGGTTGATCAATATATCCATACCGAAAAGTAAGTTTTTTTTGAAATATCGAAACATTTCACCATTTTCCGATATCTTCGTTTTTACAAAAATTATAGGATTCTCAGACTTTTGGGAAACTAATATATTATACACTTTCTCTTCTTTTATTATAAATTCATATTTTATCGAGAGAGTATTTCACGAAGTTTATCTTGTTCATTTGTTCTATATCGTTTTTCTTCGAAAAAAAAAAAAAAAGTAAAAAGTAGATTTATGTAAATCATAATCTGCGAGAATAGACATAGATATATTTCTAACAAATATATGTACAAGTACAATAACAGTATTGAGCATTTCTCTCTAGGAAGATACATCGAGGGAAAAAATGCAGTTCTTGTATGTAAATAATAAAAATTGCGCGAATATTCATGGCCGAATGAAATCGTCCACGCATATACGCACAAACACAAATCACAATTATGGTGTGATATAATACTATGAACACAATATTTTTTTCTGTATTGATATTCGTAAGTTCAAGGCTGATGACGAGAATCACTTAAACAGTAGAAAGTAATCTTTGGGACCTTCCATCGTTAACCATTAGTTACGATAACTACAACTTGGAAGATCACTGTGGTAGATAAGTAGGATTATATGGAGCCTGTTTAGCGTATGCTTCGTTGATGTATGATGGAGGTTGCGACATTACTAAAAAAAATTAAGTAAAAATAATTATCTATTCGAGAATGAAGAGTTTATTGCATTTCTCTTCGATATTAAAATAACATCGAAATTCAAAAGACTTCTAAAAATAATCAACTCTAAAATATATGAGAAATTAAAAAATTTTTTTAAGGATCTTCATACGATTAGATGTGTTAGATGCTAACTGCTTGAACATAGAATCTAAAATGTATATTTTGATCAAGTACCTGTCGAGCTCATTGGTGGAATATAGTTTTGAGTAGATTGGTTAGCACAGCTTATTGGAAAATTTTGAATAGGTTGGCTAGTATAGCTTGGTGGAATATTTTGAGTAAGTTGGCTAGTATAGCTTGGTGTATTATTTGCCGGAAACTGAATTGTTTGCACGACAGGTCTCTCAACTTCTGCAACAAATACTTGTGTAACAGACACATAAAGATCTCAAGTGTATCTTATAATTAGTTTGTCTCAGAGACAGCGAGAAAATTAACAACAAAAATAAAATTAACGAAATTAAAACAAAAAATAAACATAACATATGTAATGTAGAATTTTTTAAATAGATCTTAAATTTAAAAACTAGTACTTAATTGATAAAGTTGGTAGAAATTTTTCAAAATGTGTTTTTATATTAAATAATTAATCACTCGATTAATATATATACTATATATATATATATATATATATAAGCGATAAATTATGATGCATTGGTGATAAAAAATCAGATTGTACACAATATTTTATATTTTAGGAAAAAAATGTGAACACGAGTGTAACATAGCATAACAGCATAGTGATCTGGCATGCTAGAGGTCCCGGGTACAATCTCTAGTAGGAACCAAGATATTTATGCTCGTGTCTCCTCTCGAAAAGACTGGCAACCTTCCGAGAGTATTCTCGCCCACAGGAACATCTCTCGAAAAGTTAGCCGTTCGAAACCGGCATTAAAACTGAAGGTACCATATGCATGTGACAAATGAATAATAACCAGCGTGTGCACCACAAGCATATAAGAAAAACACAGGTGTGTGTAACACAGGTCAGAGATCTAACATAAGAATAAGAAGGAAAAATGTATTATATTTGAGCTTCTAAAAATGAAATACATGAGCTGTCTGCTTACTTTAAACTAAAATTTATTTAGCAAATAACTATATATTTGTATAAACAAATCTAATGCTAAGTTGTCATGTATTCATGCACATGTGGAAGAAATGTGGATGAAATTTAAATACATTTTATATATTACATGAATACGTTATATGAATGTATTTAAATAAACATTCCTTTCACATGTGTATACTTGACAACTTAGCATTAGACGTGCTTCTACAAATATTAAAATGACATATAACATGTCTAATGCACTTATTAGTCAAAAAGAATAAAAATCAATCTACATACGAAATGTTCCATTTACATATTTGTAATAAAACTGTAATCTATAGCTACTCTTAATAATATAAAAAAATAGCTACCTACATAAAATAAAAAATATATCATATTTGATCACATGTGATTTAGAACATTTCATATGTATGTACATTTTAATGAGATACGCTTAACATTATACGAGATATCGTTAAACTAACAAAAAGGTATAAAAAATAATATGAAATATGAGGTAACATAACACAGAATTTCGTACGTGCTAGTGTACATTATACGCGAGGTTAAACATCTCAGACTTAAGCGGGGAGCACAGACTTTTGCATAACGCATAATACATATACATAAAGAATTTGATTGGTCCATTGACTCATGCATAAGAAAATGGGCCAATGAAATTCCTTATGCACATGCTTTATGCGTTATGCAAAAGTGTGTGTTTGGGCTCTTATTCAGTTTCCACTGTGTAAGTTATCTTACACTTATAATTGGAAAACTAACTAGATTCTCCTTATAAGAATATAGCAATTGAATAAGAATTTAAATTTAGGTCTACAAAAATACTGTTATTAATGTAATATTGTAAAAAATATATTAGCATAATACTGTTGGAAGACAATGGCAATGAATCAGGAGTATCCTTACCATGAAAATCTCTTTAATTAAGTTGTTTAGAAGCGATGTAGATTGAAAGTTCCATAGTTCTGAAGATATATGGAAGAAATTATATTTTATATATACATCTCTGCTAAGAGACTAATAATAATATTGAAAAGATGACGCTGATATTCTTATAAGGAGAAAATTCAGAAAATACATTTTGACAACGGATACATATATAGTATAAAATATATAAGCACTTATGTTCTTTATGGAAAATAAACTAAAAATTTATTTAATATTGGCATACAAATGCTCTTCGTAGGAGGAATGATGTCGAAATGGTATTATGCCAAGCTGGGTCCTAGAAAGAATGATGACTCCGTTATTTGCCAACTCAGAATTCATCAAAATATATATACTTAATTTCATTAAAAAATGTATCTGTAATTTTCATGATTGTGGTTTTTATAGCGCAAAAGTGTTTATGACGTTAAATATTTTAGAAGAGTGCTTTTATAAAGATAATTGTCGCTGTCTCTAACACAAACTACAATTCATCGATTTGTGCTCGTTCCACATATAATGAAAATATTACAAATTGGTTTATTTAACAGGGAAATTTAGGAAAAATTACATGACAACTCAATATTAATGCACGAAATTTAAAAAAAAAGACGTACTTCCATAGACCATGCCGGGATTGCGGCGATACCAGGGACAGCAACTGCAGCAGAAGCAAGATACGCAGCATGTTATTAGGAAAATAATACCAAGCCCTGCAAGTACTAGAGGAAAGATGAAACCTAATCTGTAAAATAATATATTCTTATTAAAGATATATCATGTATCATCTTTTGTTAAGTTAAATTGCTATAGTGATTCTATTATTTACCATATTACTTTACACTTATAAATTATGTAAAAGATCGCGTGTCATGTAGAATTAAGCGTATTAAATACTATTTATTCAACTGTATGTTACAAGCGATTATGATGTTTTACCCAGTTTTCTTTGTAAACTCAGCGAAGGGGCAGCAATAAGAACTTTGAGATAGTACATCAATGCAGCAGTAATTATTTTCTTTTGACTCAAAGGGTCTTGGACATGTAGTTATTTGTTTTTCTAACCATGTCTTCTCTAAAAATTCGAAGGTACAATCTATTCCTAAAAAGTAAACAAAAATATTTCGTAATATGCACTAAAAACTTTTTAAGTATTAGTTGTTTAAAAAAAATTAAGGAAATTAATAACAAAAAAATTTATTCTTCACAATTCTGAATTTCAATTTAACATTATTTTAATCTTATTATATTTTAATTATAATAAATAATTACGCCTCATTTTGCGAATTATAAAAATATTTGGCTGCAAGGCGATCAAAAGAATTTCTACAACTAAAACTCGCTAGCGTATCAGGTAAGGAACGTACGATTTATGGTTTACATTTACATGTAAATACTAAACTATGTGAGAGAGATTAAAGGTCTCCAATGACGCATTGTATTTGTAAGGAAAAGGGAGCTCGAATTTTGTTCGTAGAATTTTATGTGGTGAGTTTTCGTCCGTCGATGATCCAAGAAGTTATTGCTTTGGATCCATTTTTATTGCCTCGTGAATTTCAAATCTTTACCAATAGTTTTTTCTATTTGTTTATTACTTTTCTAAATTGTTTCAATATTTTTTTTTCTTTAATAATAAGTTTTTTGTATCGTGTCAAATAATTATACGAAGTGAAAAATGATTGAAATTAATAAAGTTAAAGTAATTTAAATGGTAAATATAAAAAAATTGATATTCAATTTTTCTGTCAAATCAAAACAATTCTGTTACTTATATTTTTGAATAAATACTTTTAATAAAGGAGACGCGACAAGAATGAAGTTCATGGTATAATTATTGAATTCCGCATATACTAAACGTAATCGATCGCTGTGCGTGCGTATGTACACGCATGCGAGAAATATGCAATCGTAAAAAAAGAATCAAGAAAATCTTTGTAATATACAGGGTGTCCCAGAAAGCTCCGAAGGTCCTTTCTCCGGCAGATTCTATGGAACATTCTAAGACAAAAACCATCTATACAAAAATGTCCAGGTTACAATAGTTTTCAAATTATAAATTATAAATTTATTTGTATTTCCTACAAATAAATAAATAAAAATGAATAAATAAAATAAAAAACTCTATTTGTAGTGAAACATTATCATTATAGTTTTTTAGTCATTTAATTTCTTCCAGTTTATTAAAGAAATATGATAAATTAATTTACTATTTGACATAACTTATTAAACAACTTTGACAGTTCGATGTAATGATTGAAATTCTGTAATAAAAGACTGAATTCTATGTATAATTTCAATTATACAATTACATGCGAATCTTAAAAGTGAAATCTCTTTACCATTGTATGTAAAATTAAAGCGCTTACCGCGAAAGTGCCTAACTGCTAAAATTCGGTTTCCTATTATGAAGCGTTATTATCTGATAAAACTATTAATGTTTTACAATAAAAAACCGAATTTCTACGGTTACACATTTTGCAACAATTGTCTCAATTATATCAACATTTAACAAGCGAGTCAATGTACAAGGGCCCCACGCGATGTTCGTCCCTGAGCGCGCGATTTTCAGACTACAATTGACCAATCGTTTATAATTTGAAAACTATTGTAGCCTGGACATTTTTGTATAGATGGTTTTTGTCTTAGAATGTTCCATAGAATCTGCCGGAGAAAGAACCTTCGAGCTTTCTGGGACACCCTGTATATACGCATTGATCTTAATTAATTACTGCTAATACTGTCAATTAAAGACTAGAGTTTACAGCACTTATTATAAAAGAAAAATAGATTGATTGAATTTATTAATACAAATTAAGAATGTACACTCAACAGCAAAATTAAAGCATCATTTATCCTGCCACCTCAAAATAGGCAAATTTCAAAAGAGTGTAACTTCGTCAAAAATGATCGTAAAAAAATTTGTCAAAAAACATTCTAAAGCTTGAAATCTCTACTTTCGAAAACGGTAATTGATATTTCGATTTAATTAATTCTTTACGAAGTTATGCGGATACAAATGAAAGTGCGTCAAATCTCAAAAATTTTTGTTTACTTTAAGAAGTTTTATGGCGTGAATTAAAAATCGTATAAAAATTTGGTTTACAGCATTCGAAAACGTGAACCTTTACCTTTAATTTTATTTTTTGTTTACCGGACAATAGATTGATTTTCATAAAAAACAGAGATCGATAATTGGCAAAATTAAACTACGCAATTAAGAAACAGCGTGTTTAATTGACAGAAGTCTGTAGTAGAAAACGTTTACTGTTTATATAAATAAAAGTTTCGTTTATCTTATCTCACTTCCTTGAAATCCACCTAAAGAGAGCGATATAATACATTATGGCATTCATGATATTACACGTATAAAGTAACACTATATATTCGTGGAGCACAAAGAAAAATTATGACAGATCGAATTATAAAGATATATAAGTAAAAATTAAAAATGAAATATGGTATAAGAGGATCAAATAAAAAAATTAAAATTAATATAAGCGGCTTTTGAACCTAGCAGGATGTGTTTGTGCGCTAACGAATAATTATAAAAAATTTTTAATCGTATTTTATTTATCCAGAGATCCCAACAGATTAAATTTTCCAAGCTAATAAGCTAATGTTTAAAAATTTGAGCCATTTCTTCTTCGTCTTAATGCATATATATAGCGACAGCATTTGCGAGAGATCGGATTTCGCGAGATTCGCAAAAATAAATACAATAATCTTATTTCAAAAATTAATGTGCATATATACATTCAAAATATTTTATTAACATATTGAAATCAGTGAATTATATTAAATATATAAAAACATAATTTGTTTAATTCAATAGATTATAAAATTGTGTCTAGAAAACAAAATGCTATAAAATCAATGTGATCTCTCTCTCTCTCTCTCTCTCTCTCTCTCTCTCTCTCTCTCTCTCTCTCCCCCCTCTCTTCTCCTCTCCTCTCTTTCACTCACCCTCTCACTGTTAAGTATAGCATACAAACAATTTTTACAACATCAGAAGAACTTTCTACATGTTGGATATATTCAAGGTTTATGAGGACACGTCTTTTGAGTATTTATGTAAACCATTTTCAATTTCAAATTTTATTATTATTCAATTAATGTCAACATTTGTCTAACTGAATATGGTTTAAAAAATTTTGCTAAGCATCCTGCCTATTAAGCGATTTGATCGAAGTTGTTCTCAATAGTAGACTAACCGAAGAAAAAACGCCAAACGTTTCGATCATGTAGCATAAATCTTTTAGATGCTGCTTCAGTAGAAAACTTTATCGTTCCATTATGACGAAAGCAAGAAACAAATCCCAGTCAACTATGTAGAGAAATCGTGTTATCGCGTTTCCCAATGTGTTTCGAAAACAAGATAAGAAGCAAGTAACCATCGATTGTTCAAATATGTAATAATGGAAAAACATAATATTGTGAAATCCAAAAAGTGAGAATCTTCGATTTCATACACAGGGTATCATTAATCATTCTCTCATATACGTTTGCCCTATATATGATAAATGCCCAAATGCTTGGATTACGGCATTAACGATCCTGTATATACTTACATGTGTACACACACACACACGTTCTCTCGACAAAAATACGTTTGACTATTTTACTGAACGTTTTCTTACCGTGTGCCATGTGCAAACAAGTGAACAGCAACGCAACCACGAGACGTAACATTTTGATCCTGTTCCTCTCAATATACTTCACTACTTGCTGACGCCGCTCGGTGGTTGAGCAATGCGCTTGGCTGTGTTAACAGTACGAATCCGGTGACGACTACCTGTTAAGCGCGCGTCGCGAGTCACGGCACCATCCGCAGTGGTCGCAGTGCTCTGGTAGTCTCGTTCTATTGTTTATAGTACGCAGTGAGTCACATCCATGGTATAAGAATAAGGGTATGCTCACGCGCATGCGACCAATTAAAATTGTCAAAGTGTGACGTCACACAAACAAGCGGTAAATTTAGAACTGCTGTTTCCAAACAACTTATGTTAGCAGCATTTTCGTCAGATATTTTATTTTATTTTGATTTAAAGTTTACAGGAAAAATACGTTTTTAAATAATTTAAGAACTAATGAATATCTTGTAACAAAATGTAACCATAAGTAAACATTACAAACTCAACAAAGATAGAAGAATTTATTATGAAACAAATATATAAAAATGTTAATACCTTTTCCTTCAGAGATATATGTATATATTGTATTTCTTTAGTTGTATTTCTTTAGCAAAATTATATACAGTTGATTTCGTTACATTTGTACATTTACAAGAAATACAAAATCTGACCTTTTTTAATATTAACGTTTTGATTTCCACATGCAGCAAGCCATTTAGATGCAATCGTTAAATCTTTCGGAAACGAAAAATATTTTATGCTGTTTCCGTTAAGCAATTTTGTTTTGCGATAATAATTGCCACAACCTTTTATACAACAGGACATTGTGTACGTATCGTATGTATCACCGAACATTAACCATGTCAAGTATCAGGAGCCACCATGTTCTCGTTTGGGCGATCTGATTGGCCCCGAGAGTGACGTCACGCTTTGACTGCGCAGTGGGTGTCCACGGCGTGAGCATACCCTTATTCTTATACCATGAGTCACATCAAGAACCATTGGGTTGAGACTGTGAGAAGGGACTTTAGGGTCAATCCACACAACTTGCACAGCCGCTAAATATAAGCATGAAGAAAATTATCCAATCGTATTTTACATTCGCCCTTATGACAGAACGTGATTCGATAATTTTTTTATGCAGTTATGCAAGTTGTGTGAATAACCTTTATAGTCCGACATTCCAAGCGAAGACCAAAAGTGGGATACGAACACGCCATATTGGTTGGATTCCAAAAACGATCGATAAAAAGAATCTGATTGACAGATTCAAAAGTAACATCAATCATAGGATAGGCAATATCCGGTTGGTTGAGTGGCTGTCTCAGATTTTTTTCGCGAACAAATGTTTGAAACTATATTATTTCTTTTAAATATTTCTAGATACTTAAGAGTTGCGTTACAGATCGAGTGAGAAATATAATTACGGATTGTGAGGATTAAAAATATTAATTATGTACAAACATCTTATAAATTGATTCTAGGGAAGTTTTAGATGGTGAATATGTTCGCCTAGTTATATCGCTGGTGTCGTCAATGGCGCCAAAAATAAAAACAGAACCGAACTCGCGAATGCGAAATAGATGGAATAAGTATTGCCGTTGATGTTTAAAAAATTAAATTTTAAGTCAGTGATAATAAAATCGTCGTAACAATTTATTATAAAATACTATCAATATATAAAAAGTCCGTTGTAACACTTTTTATTCACATTTTGTATTTGGCTATAAAAAATAATTATTGTTAAAAAATGCACCTCTATAAAGATAATAAAATAAAATATAATGCCCAAAAATATATAATAATATAATAATATAAAAATATATAACATATAAAAAAATAATAAATATATAACGTATAAATAATGTAAATCAATGTAGATGCATAAAAAAAGCAAAACGAATATTCGATTCAATATAACTGCAAAAATAATACAAATGCATTAACTGGATCGTTACTGTTCTGAATCTTCGTTAATGAGATCGCCGATGATGTGTCCCATGTCCACATCATCCTTCAACACAAACGAGTGTTGAAAACCACGCTGACATAATTGAGCATTCAGACCAGGATGTTTTGATACTATATCTTTATAATATTTTACCGGAGCCCAGCCATCACTGGCACCGTAATACAACCATAGTTTATTAGCATGTTTTGATATAGTCTCATGATCAGCTTCTTTGACATGTTTCATCTCTTCATTGGCAAGATTAATTATTTTACTCAAGGTTCTTGGATCCAGCATTTCTCGAACCGCCCTCACGGATCTAGCTGGGATGCCAAAAAACATACCGAAAGCACGTATCATAAATGATTGTAGAGCTACTGGAAACATCGATGTAAAGATCCAAGACAGGAAAATCAAAACTGGTGCCGTACGTGATATCTGAAAAGACAAATATATCTATTAATAATTACTAGAATAGAAAACAATTGTGTGTGTCTGTATGTAACAATTATAATCCAGTAAATATCAACAGTAACACCATACAGTCCAGATTTGTTATAACTTTACACTCAACAATGCAATTAGTATGTAATATAATGTATTACATTTTTATTGTCGAGTTTGAAATTATGTAATAATATTGACCACAAGTATCATGATACAATATTAAAGACATTTTGATGGCAAATAACACCAACTTGCTATATAATACCTGGAGCATTATTGTTAAATGACATGGTTTACCAAGTAATATTTCCAGAGAATGGAAGAGTTACTTTCCCGTTACTTTTACAGTTACTTTATAACAATGTGATAACAATGTTGCAATTTTTTATGACTAATGATAGCTAACTAAACTAAACGCTTAAGGGTGCAGTCCCATGGAGCGTATCGCGCGTATCGCGGATTAGCGGATCGCCAATCACAGAATCGTTCTGTTAGATCTGTTTACAAATTTTGTAAGCAAATCTAACAGAACGATTCTGTGATTGGCGATCCGCTAATCCGCGATACGCGCGATACGCTCCATGGGACTGCACCCTAAGAGACTAAAATTAAGAAAGTCATTTTGAAAAAAAATTGTTATCATTACGCGTTACTTACTGAAAAAAGTAGTAAGTAACGAATAACTCCGTAAAGTTACTCTGTTACAAGTTACAAATTACGAGTTATTCATTTCAGTAATAAATTTTCCAATCTGCTGTAAGTATCTATTAACCGATCGGAGTTGAAACGTATGTATTATTTATGAATTATACTTAACTTCTTTGTTACTTTATTTACATGATTGTTAAACTTCTTTGTTACTTTATTTACATGATTGTTATTATTATTTAAATTTTAATTAATTGTTACTGGCTCTTTGACCTCATTCTATATACTTTATCTATTGATTGTTCTTAACTCTAGCCTAGTGTTACATCATCATCATCATAAAAAATGTGCAATGTCACTACCAAATTGTTATTATAATAAGGCTGGAATCCATAGTCCATTCTTGATCTCAAGACTGTCTCAAGAGGCAATGTTTTAAGAGGCTAATACGTTTTTTTAATTGATTTATGACATCTTAAATACTAACTTAAGACCATTTTGAATTTTAAGCAACATCTATGGATTCCACCCTAGTAATTACGTAATGGCAGTTACAGTAACTAGTTACTTCCATTTCCTGAATAGTTAATATATATATAATCATAAACTTGCAAAACGCACAAAAATATTAAAAAATGTTCCATTAGGAGTTTTCGCCATGTACTCTATGGTAGGAAACAACAGATAGCATTTCTGTATCCTTTTATCAATGTCATTATCCTTCAGCAAATTGAGCACAAACCAGGCACCTATAGAATGTCCAACAATATGTAAATGCGCATCCTCTGGAATGTATTTTTTTATAAATTCAGCCTGCAACCATAAAATTATAGCTTTATTATGAGAGAGAGGCGTTCAATAGGAAGTGCTTGAAGGCTGGAGTGTACCTACCTTATGTTGAATTTGCGCCGTCAGACCATAGCACTCTGTCCACTTCTGATCGCTGGGCATAGCGATAGCCAGGTTCTCTGGTGGTTGAACATGGCCAGCGTGTCCGACGATCCACACAGGTGTGTCCGACGTTAATTTCGACTTGAGTACTTTCATAAAGGTCTCGTAAAATCGTGGAATACCTGGATTCCCGGGAATGACGAGGACTATGTTCTTGTTGGAATGTGGTAGCGGATCTTCCTCTATCCAACGGCCTTCTGATATCACCTCGGTCTGCACCTGATTACAATTGATCATAGCTCGATGCATGTTTTATCCCGAGTTGCACAGCACTCTGAAATATTTGTCTTCCTCTTCATACAATCTATCGAATATAGCAGCGCTAATTTTTACGTGTCATTCGACGTAGAGCACAAAATCGACTGACTAAAGGTCGCTGCAATCATCTGGTTCACAATCCGTCCAACGGTACATAATTATACGTTGACAAAGAATACCTCAACTACCATGGAACAGGATGATTACCCATGTGAGCCGAAATAGCTCAGTTGGGAGAGCGTTAGACTGAAGATCTAAATGTCCCCGGTTCAATCCCGGGTTTCGGCAGATTTTTTTTTCTTCATTTTATACAATTAGTTAATCAATTGACAAGTTATGAAATAAAACTGGTAATTTTTATTTTTTAATTTTCGTTTTCTTTTGTAATTTAAAAAGCTTAAAAAATGTGCCATGTCCATCACGTTTCTGCGTAATTGATACAAGTGAACACGTGATTTTGTATGTTGCAGTATATTTCGAGATCACGTATTTTATCAATAATTTTCTATAATTCGTATTTAATTTGTTGTATTACTTCAATAATATTTTTTTAATATTAAACATTATTTATTTCAACATGTTTTCTTACATCGATAACTTTCCCCAGGAAATTTTCGAATAAAGCAACAGAGGACTCTGCCAGTAACGCTTTTAAAATTGCACTGGCAGCTAATTTTTAATTTCTTTTTGACATAATGTTATATAGTTATGCTAAAGTATAGTAAAAAAAACTATTGATTAATATATTAGATATCATCGATTCAATGAAATATACAGAAATATATAAATTCAAAATATTTAAATTCAAGTATTTTAATTTACGAAGAATTACGCTTGCGGTTCAAGAAATATTAAAATATCAAGATACGGACATCTTGAAACATACAAAGATTTCAAAAATTCGTAAAATTGTACACATAAAAATGTTCAATGATCCAACAACGAAATTCTTGACAAATAAATATCTCAACAATTTAAAATTTTCAAGCCTTAATTTCCTTAGATATATTGAAGTATATTGAAAATATAAAATAGATCTTGGACCACAGAAAATCGAGATAGAGGATCTAAAAAACATAAACACAGGAATGTTTCATGTTTGTATTCGCACTACTATAAGCGCCACCGATCGCCCTCCAGATTCGATGCCGATACCGTGATCGGCCTCACGGATCCATTCGTGTGATATCCGGTTCCAGTGGCAAACGACGAGGAATAGAACAAGAGAATAGCCGGCGCCGTGGCGCGGCTAGCCGCCACGACCGCGTCTCGAAGCCGTGCTTTCCATCGGAAAAGTATGGCGGCGGTAATTCGAACGCGCGTCATACAGTCCCGCGAGTGGAGGCGCACGCGTCATGGCGTTTGATCGCGCGCTCGCGGGGCGGAGCAATCGGCGCGATTGTGTGTATGCGAACGCGGACGCAAAAAGCGCACGGGTTATCCTCGTTATCGGGGCGTGGAGCGCGAATCGGGGAGGGGGGGACGGAGGGGGGGAGTCGCCGACGGGCGGGCCGCCCCGTTCGCGGGAAGGCGCCATGCTGACGCGCACGCGACATCCTCGTAATCGCGGATCATCGTTTTTCCGCGCCGTTCTTTACGCGTGGTAGATTTTCGAGAGCCGTCCAGGATCTCATTGCGACGATGTAGGCACGACCGTTGCCAAATTGTTGTCACGCTAGAAACGAGAATCGACCAATAAAGAAGATCCCAGATCCATGTCAGGTCAGGTCAGGTTAGACTGGATTAGGTTGGACCGAATTGCCGCCCTGATATGAACTGCGGTAAACCGATCGTTCCGTTCTTATTAATATACTTGTGAATGATTCGAAGATATGCTGAATGCTATCTTTCTTGTATTGTGTAAGACAGCGGTAAAATCTCGCTTAATAGCAGCTAGTAGATATAGAAAGCCGTGTTGTAAAAATTAACTCAAGTTTCGACAGTACGTTTTCTATCGAAAATTTTGTATTATAGAACTAGGAGAGAGCCTTGTACACACAGAGATAGTCTATATATATAATAAGATTAAATATACTAGATTGTCAACAAATTATGAAACATTTTCTTTAAATTACGTAATATTTAAATTGTTTATAGATATTTTTAATAAGTTTGTAAATTATATATATCAATAATCTAATGGAGTATAATTGTATTATCTGCTGATTTAGATTTATTTACTACATATTAACTTTAGCACTGCCCATATATAGCATAGGTATAGATGTCCAAGGAACGTTCTGAAGAATATTTGAGAATGTTTCGAGAATGTTTGCAGAAACATTTCTAGAATAAAGTGTGCTGTATGGGTGATAACTTAAAAAACACAGAAACACCAAAAATAAGCATGCAATTTATTTTAAAATACAAAATTTAATTACAATTATTCGAGTGGATTAATCAGACATTCTCTTTGTAGTAGGAAAAGACAATTCCTTGGATTTCAAAAATCACAAAAATAAAAACAATCTTTATCTGTTATTTTTTAGCTACTGTTGCGTCACAATAATAGAAATGTCCTAACAAGAAATAAAGTATGAAATTTATCAAGTTAACATATATGGCAATTTAATGAAGTAATAAGCTTGCACGAGCTTTTGCAAGTGCATTTGTAGATAAAAAATGCGAAAAACAAGGCTGGTATTATATTTGTCGTATGACAAATTTTTTTCAAATCTATCGATTGGCTGTAGAGATCCGAGAACTTCTTTGTTCTGCAGCCAATCAACATGCATGTAATATCAGCTAAAAGGACGTAAGAAACTTGATCAATGGATAATTATTAATCAAATAAAATATAAAAACGTAAGGCCCATAATTAATAATAATATAAACTATTTTCAATGTATCATAATTGTACTTGATAGAATCAAAAGAGTTTTTCTGTTTATAATATATAAGATCGTAACTTCTTTTAGTGACGTATAGCTGATATAAATTAGAGGAAGACCGGCATCTAGTTTGATTAGGTAATGTCATTATCACACTGTCAATAATTCCCGGTATTATTACAAGAACCAGTTATATCTATCGATTGTAAAATAATCCGTGCAAGAAAAACGCGATTATTTCCCAATCGATCGTGTGGAAGTTGAAATTCCTACAAAAACATTGCGATTACCCGCACATTTGCCGACTGTCCCTCCCTCTCATTATCGGCGAGAAATTTTCGTACAATTAATTACGCCAATGAAATTTCAATCTGACATCGCCGTAGGTCGTAAGACAGCAGCCGAGTCTGCGGAAGGAGGTGGCGCCGACCTTCGGGGAGGGAGGCGTGCTCGTGAACGATGGGCGTTGCTTCGCGGACGAGGCGGTGCGCTTTCGCCCCGTTCTGGGCGAACTGCGGCGGGGCCACGTCCGTCCAAGCCCATGGTCCGCAGTCACAATTCGGTCGTTCAGCGGTGCGGACGTTATGCCGCTTTGTGTCGCGTATAAATTTCGACCACCGGAAATGTGATTCTCGGCACCTGCGAGCGTACTACGTTCCGTGTCAGTTTTGTCCCGTTTTTGCCCCGGGTGCGCTCGTCGGACGCGCCGGTTTTGCGGTGCTGGCAACCGTCTAGGATCGATCTACTTGCGGACCGCGGCTATCGTGGATATTATCGTTCTATTATCTCTCGGTAATTCCGGAGCTGGGCGAAGCTGTCGTTATACGGCGAAGTGGTACTATCTATGGTGTCATTTCCACGGAACGTTTCTCACGAAAGATCCGCTCGGCGAAGCGCAACTTTAAGCTACGCCCGGCCGGTGCGGCGCCTGTATTAAAGGGAGATATGCCCGAAGCAACGCGACGGCGATCGACTGACAGCCGCCGCTCCGTGGAATCGGAGCCGCTTGGAGCGGCCTAGCCCGATTTATGCCCAAGTGATACTGTAATATTATCGTCCACGGTGACGAGATGCTAAGTCGCCAGGGTGAATCCATGTAGATATATAAGTGACGCGAAAGAGGCGGACTTTGGGGAGAGGCGAGCTGGTGTGCGAAATGTAGCTTGCGAAAAGTCTTCCGCGCTTCCTCGAAGGGAAGACGGGGGCGGATCGGTTTGTTGATTCACCGAGGATCACACGACCCATGGACGCTGCTCTCTTCGTGCCTCGCGTTCCTCCAGTCGAGTGGTGAGGTACCCGCGAGGTGAAAACTTTCCACCGGCGGCGCTAGAACAGAAACGTCGGGAAAGTACGAGTCCTCCCCGACGCTTCCGTGATGTGCCTGTGAATTGGATACTTGGAAAAAGGACTCCTTTTCCCATCGCGTCAGGATGATGAAACCAGGCTGCCTGCCGGACGCGTACGACTAATCGTCACAGTGGAGTTCTGCTTAATCGCAGGTAATTTCCGACGGCAACGCGCGCCTGCCTTATTTCTGCGTGACGAATGCTAATTGAAATGCAGCCTGGGTTTTGGGATAGGCCTGTGTAATTTAAGGGTTTTCGAAATATTTCAAAATATCGCATGCACATCTCGTTTACAAAGAACTTATGAACTGTGTAGATTGTAGAATGTACGTTTGTCATAATTATTGTGGTTGGTCGTCACCGAACAATGGCTTGCACTGAACGCGATAACTACGTGTGGTTTTCATCAGTTTCTTCGCATCTCTAGACTTTTCTGAAGAATATTCTTTACGGGAGTGGTTGTTATTACGAACTTTTCAGGGGAAAATAGCTTGGGAAAATTGTCGAGAGAATTGTTACGTATATACGTCAGGAAAATCCGCGGTTGGGACCATTTTACTGGATCTGATATGCGTAATTATGCGTTTCGTCACGATTATCTTCATTTTCGGGTTTCTCTCGCCATACTCTTGGAAAGATTAAAAAGATTATACGCCTCTTAGTGCACGAAGACAACTGTAAATGTACTTTCTCCGTCGTCGACAACGATCGATAGCAACTACTTCACACTTAGTAGATACTGCTCCGCTTATTAGCTCCCTTATCTTGAAAGTAGCGTAAACGCAAACGTTAGAAATCTCATTATTTATTGAATAACTCTGATTTTTTTCTTTTTCTTTTTTCGAAATTTTTGTATTGTTTAAAAATCGTGTCATTTCGCAAAATAGTTTTACGAAGATTAATCGCTGCTC